ATTGTGGGCTGGAGGAGACTCTTGAGAGTCCCCTGGACTGCAAGGAGAACAAACCTATCCGTTCTAAAGGAAATCAACCCTGAGTGCTCACTGGAAGCACAGATCGTGAAGCTGAGGCGCCAGTACTTTGGCCATCTCATGAGAAGAGAAGACTCCTTGGAAGAGACCTTGATGTTAGGAAACTGTGAGGGCAAGAGGAGAAGGGGACGACAGAGGATGAGATTGCTGGACAGTGTCTGCGAAGCAACCAACATGAATTTGACCCAACTCCGGGAGGCAGTGGAAGACAGGAGGGCCTGGCGTGCTCTGGTCCATGGGGTCACGAAGAGTCGGACACGACTAAACGAACGAAACGGCCAACAGGTCAAATGAAGACTCCATACCCTAAAGAAAATTGATCCTAAATGCTTTCAGAAGCCTGTGGGGGAGTAGTCCCCCCCCCCAAACTTTGCTTCTGAGTCTGTTTTCGGCCATGAAGGACCCTTTTAAAAAACAGAAGTGGCCAGGTATTTATATAAGATCAGTTGTGCATGTGAGCCTCCAATCTCCAGGGATGGGTAAAGGTCCTAGACTGACACAACTCACATGCTGCTGCTGTATCTGGATTTTAAAAAAATGAAATCCCTCTCTTGCTATTGTCAATCATGCAACTGCTCTAGTAATCATTATGCCAATACAATATCTCTGGCTTTAGTGGTCCCAGCATTACTGACTATATGAGAATCCCAGCAAGTTCTTACAAAGCATGTCTGACCTTAGTCTCCCTCCACCCTAGCCATCTGACTTAATGCTGAATGTACAGATAGACTGCTTTCTGTGCATCCAGTATTGTGCCAAAAAAGCTCTGTCAATTGAAAGAAACAGGATTGTTCCTCTGCTAGATTAGAAGTACACCACAGAGCTGCACATAACTTTTCAGTGAACTCATCTCATGACATGACAGAACTGCTGGATAGTGCTCAGTGGTTTAGACCTCTGACTGTGAAACCAGAAGTTGGGAGTTTGATTCTCCCACTTTGCCTCCTTGACAAAGGCTGGAGAGGATGATCCATAGGGCTCCTTCCAGCTCTGCTGTTCTACAAGATTATTATAATTTTTAAATAATATTTCAGGACTTTAATGGAACTCAAGGCAGATTTGATGACCACCACCCCAATTCTGATTTAGCACATTATCACACGTTGTCAATACACTTCAGCTGGAAGTACCACCAGCTCTGACTTGCCCAAGTTTTTGTTCAAATACCAATTCCTCATTCAAGGCCATAGAAGTCTTTTTATATGATTGCAGCCCTTGTGAAGCCCTAACATGTTGTATAAACACAGGCTTGCTGGCTTGCTCCCTAAGCCCTTAAAATTGTAATTATCTCCTCTTCCCTTTCTGAGCCAAACAAACCCACCCAGATAAACAGGCCACACATTACTAGTTTTTTAAAAAACAGACAACCCCATTTTATTAGCAGTTAGTTCAACAGGACTTTACATTAGTGACATAGTTTTCTGAACCCAAAATGAGTTCAAGTACAGATTAAAAATATGGGAGACAGTTTCTCAAAAGTATTCCCTCCCCTTTCTTCCCTCCCACCATGAAAATACACCCTTTCCAATGGGAAACCATACAGAATCTCATGCAAACGTAACAGTGGAGGGGGAAACAACCCATCCAAACAAATCAAAATGTATTCTTCTTAACATCTGGACCTTGATATGTGTTCTCGGTGACATTTGCTCAGCCAGGGAGGATTGTGCCTTGTTACAGTTGCTGACCAAGTAGAAAAGCGAATGTCTCCAAAAACATGGCAAGGTTAAAACACACCAGCATATTGGAGCAGTCCAACCTAATACTTTAAGAGAACGAGCATATATGGTTAGATATTTTTTGTATTTGTCGTTCTGGCAATGTGACAATGCCACATGTTATCAAATGCTACCCTCTAGGAACTCAGCCCAGAATTTATTTATAGAAGTTCCATACTTCATTTTGATATTGAGAAAGATACAGACAGTGGTGCATCCTGATAATCACAAAATTCATGATGAGCATGTACTTTTGGGCACCAGCTAATACATCCTCTGCAGATTACTTCTTAAAGCAATATCTTAAATTTTCTGCTAAGGGTCATCATGTGCATCCTTCATATACCTTATCATCTAAACTTGTGGTTTGATCACTGTGGCAGCAGACAAAGTAAGAATTGGGGGTCAGTAACAGGACTTTGAGTCTAAAGGTGACTGATGCTCTTCAGATGTTAAAAATATTCTACCAATAAAGGGAAGGACAACATTTTGCTGAAGCTTTTCCACCAGGCCTGTCTCTTGCCTTAAAGTCATGGCTCAACAGGATAAGATTTTAACCTGTTTCAGGGCAAAAAGCTGCAGCAAGTCAATACCATGCTATGCCTAAAAGGGCTGCCTTCTCCTGATGCCACGTTCTCTTAGAAAGTTTTACAAACAGAAGCCTATCCCTGGTAGACAAATATATGAAAGACTCTTCTCAACTCCTCTGTATTGAAATGTCCACAGTATCTCCCACACAATCTTTTTACTTAGCTCGTAAGTGGTGGAATCCTTTTACTTATAACATTCTAGCACCCAAGTCTTCCTTGATTCTAGCTGATTCTAAATTGGAAGGGATAGCATGTGCTGTTCCCGTACCTTATAGCCACAGGTAGGAAAAGCTGGTTTCTTTAGTCAACAACATCCAGAACCCGAGATGGCAAGGCAGGTTGGCTCTGGAATTCGGGGGCTGTAGTTCATCAAATAACCATTCCAAGCTCTCATTTCACACAGTGAAAAACTATTGAGTTTCCTGTGCTGGGGTTACCCCTTGTCCACAAGTGCCTGGAAACAAATCAGCAATTGTTGCCCTATCCTCCTGCCACTTGCTCACCCTTGGTGTATGTTGGATGTCCATGACATTGCCTTTATAATGTCTGCTATGCTGTTTTATATAATGAAAGGAAGTGCACACACTCGGTGCCTGGGAAGAAAGACTCTCTTCATGACCAGCACATTCTGTTTTACCAACCGAAAACATCTTGATGTAGAAAGGCCACAGGTGAAATACTGTATTTTTTTTTTAAAAAAAAAGAAAAAGAAAGAGGCATTATCTCAGCATGAATGGCCCTCCGCCATCCCCAATTCAATTCTCCACAGCTTCTCCACCAGCTGCATATTCCATATGTAAGGAGCACAATGAATAAAAGATGAAAAGGGCACCCGCCATTTCTTGGTTCATCCACGAGATGGTGCTCCGGTCCATTGTCAGGGGAAGAAGGTGTGTGACGGAGTCATCAAATGGTAGTTCATACGAAGGAGGCCCTGAAAAGGGGGAAATAGCCCCCCTTTTTTGAGTGGGGGGGGCTCATCTATGCCAGAAAACATCATGTATTCTTTCCAATAGACCCCACAAACCAGGGTACAAAAATGAACCAATGAGATACCTATACCCCACCCTCCACTTGGTTCTTGATTTTCATTGCCACAAACGTGTTTCATCTGTTTTACCATCATGGTTACTGTTTTTGGAACTCTTCAAGCTTGAATGAACATGAACCAGGCCAGCCTTTGCTCTAGTGCCGTAATCCCACCACTGAGGTGCATTTTTTTAAAAATCCTCACCCTGCCAACCTCAGGCTTTCCAGCATCAACTGAACTGGACTTCTTTGAATCCACAAGCAAGATTAAATAAACCAAATGACAGAATGATTTGTGATTCTCTTTAACTTGTCAACTTGGCTCCAAAAGAGGGAGAACACTCACAGCTAGCTGTATATCTGAATGACACTACCGTCAACAGCCTATATACATACAATCTGCAACTACCGTTGCTGTCTTAACAAAGCTACTCAGTCAAAGGTCCATATGGAAATAGTGGAAGCAAGGACTCCATTAAACAGTCAGTGACAGCAGCAGAATCATCCTTTAAAAATTATTCTAATATATAGAAGATGGATGTCATGACAGCAGACCAGTTAAATCCACTTTTCTGTGTTGATGAAGAAAGTGAGAAAAATAAAAAACCCTGGCATCAAATAACGCAGACCAGTTAAATCCACTTTTCTGTGTTAATGAAGAAAGTGAAAAAAATAAAAGCCCCAAATAGAAAACCCTGGCATCAAATAACCCAAAAAAAAAAAAAAAAAAAAAAAAAAAAAAAAAAGCTAAAGGATGAAGTTACTAAAATACTGTTGTCATGGTGCTCAAGAGGTCTGATGTACTTAAGTGATCTTCCTTGGCAGACATTAGCCCACGGCTGGAGTGTCTGCTAGAATACCTGCTCCAAGCTGACAGGGTGGGTGCGCTGGGAGCAATTAGAATACCAGCTCTCGTACCACAGGAGCCACCTCGCTTGGTTAAAAATGCAGACAGGCCACGTGATGAGGACGTTTTAAGGTAACCTTTTAGAGCAAGCTGTCTTGCCCAGCACTTTGTCAGAGAGCCACATAATCCCACCCATCTTCCTTCCCTCCCTTTCCCCAATATGCCCCCCCAATAAGATGGAAACAAATATTCCATCCAGATGAATCTAAATATTGCCAGCATCAAAGTCTTTCAAAGTCACCTTGTATAAAAAAAAAAAAACCCAAAACATCTCTTTTTGCTAAGAACTCTATTCCATTAACACCACCTCACTCCATTCTGGGTCTGAGTCCATATTTGCAGACACAAGTCCATGCTTTTGCAGCAGGAGCCCCACTGGCTCCAAGCTGATACCCACTTGTGTTGTCCTTCTTCAAGCTCACCTGGTGCAACAACTATCAAGTGAAACCCCTTGCCCCTAGTTTGCTGTCTCATTGCCCTCCCCCCCCCCACAACCAAAATGCCACCTGTAATACTGTGTCAGATGTTGGGATTGAAGTGTGGAGAAAGAGCAGATCCTTCATGAATCCTCTTCACCAGAAAGTGGCATTCCAGACTAGGAGGCAACTTCAACACAAGCAAGGAAGCACAGCTCCTGGGCAAACAGGAAGAGGTCTGTAAGNGACTTGACGGGGGGGGGGGGGGTGTAGCTTGTCATGAGCTCCAGGAGGTCTCTGAAGAGTGACTTCTTCCAAGCTTCTTCTTCTAACACTTCTTCCAGTGTTAATTGTGGTGGGCTTTCCTCCCCATTTCCTTCTCAACAACCTTGAATAGATATTGCTCAAAATGCTTCTTCCCTGGTTGTGCATCCCACACCGTATCACGTCATTTTAGCTCGGTGTACAGGTCTGAGATCCTCCCCATGGGATTCATTCTACTATTGCTCAATACAGGAAGAAAAGAAGTGGCTATCTAGTGTTCTGGAGTTCCTCCCGCAGCCATGTTGGCAGTGTCTGGCCCATTTTATACAGTAGCTTGGATAGCTCTATATTGTGGTCCCTGTAATAGTCTCTCAAGAATGCTCTTGACTGCAACAGGAGCAGGAAAAAAGGGGAAAAGACAGTGAAAAGTCCCTGTGACAACACGAAACCAACACTTCCTATCAGAACTAAACAAATATCAAGATAGAAAAGGCTGAACAGAAACACACACCCTCAACACTGAAACTTTGCAAAAGAGGCATATGTTACTTGTCTGTTAGGATACTCATGGGAACGAGAATTATCTCTGTCACTACCACCACCCATTACTAGCCTATCAAGGGCCCCATGACAGAGCAGAAGAAGCTGGTAAAGGCACTTTCTTGGGTAGGGGTCAATCTCTTACACATCTTTACACTGCAGTGATTTCCTTCCCATGTGACCATAGGTAAAGGTAAAGGTTCCCCTTGATATTTAGTCTAGTCAAGTCTGACTCTAGGGTGCAGTGCTTATCCCCGTTTCCAAGCCGCAGAGCCAGCATTTGTCCAAAGACAGTTTCCGTGGTCATGTGGACAGCGTGACTAGACATGGAATGCCGTTACCTTCCCACCGAGGTGGTCCCTATTTATCTACTCACATTTTTACATGCTTTCGAACTGCTAGGTTGGCAGGAGCTGGGACAAGCGACGGGGGCTCACTCCGTCACATGGATTCGATTACGACTGCTGGTCTTCTGACCTTGCAGCACAGAGGCTTCTGCGGTTTAACCTGCAGAGCCACCACATCCCTTCATGTGACCATAGAGAGGGACTAATAATGCACCATAGAAAACATACCAGTGGTATGTGGAAATCATGGGAGTTGAAATCTACTCCAATGATCAGGGGGTGGGGGAAGCAGCACTGTGATGTCAATGAACTGCGGGTGTCTTCTAGAGCTTTCAAAGAGGCTTGGGGGAAGACGATACATGGGAAATCCATCCTTGCCTGAGGTACCACAACCACCAAGCCTGCTCTTTCCAAGGGAAACTGGGTGGTGAGGGGGCACTGTTCAAGCAGCCACTCAGTCTGTGGTTTCTACCCAGGATCTCACAAAAACCTGAGAAACGGTCTCCGCTTTGCCAAGAACCTCTTTTTATTATTTTGCAAGACCATAGGTTTATTTATTCTGCTGCCCAGAGTAGATCTTTGGTCTAGCTGGACGGGGCAGAAATCTAAATAAATAAATACATTTAAGGGCTTCTTCATGCTTTCTCTAGAGTAGTAGTTCCTTCCTTGGGTCTCCAGATGTTCTTGGACTAAAACTCACGGAAAGCTTCAGCAATACCTGTGCTGGCCAGAATTTTGGGGAGTTGTAGTCCAAGAACACTTGGAGACCTAATGTTGTGTGATGCACTGATCCAGGACAAGGCTTGGAATCTCTTTCAGTCCAAAGGAAACCACACCCAAACACTGCACCTATAGAACCAGCACACTTACACAGATCACAGGAGCTGATTTTAGTTAATCAGGTGCTGCACACCTGTGGTAAGCCTCTGGATACAGGGATCGCATGAGCAGGGCTCCTCACAACCTGACCGCCCACCTATGAAGGTTTGTGTGACTAGAAAACCCATTAGCCGAACCACACATTAGGGACAGGACTTTCATTTTTTTAAGGACTTCCAAATCCCATAATTTGGTGAAAAGGCTGAATTAGGGTAGTCAAAGCTTTCGAGCCATCAGGAAAGAGAGCAGCCCTTGCACATCTCTGCCATTCTTCTGCTGCTGCTGCTGCTTCACCACTGAGCGGGAAGAAAAGTGCCCTGCCAGAGTGTGGGAGTCACAAGAATGGACAGCCTCCATCAGAACTAGCCCTTCCACGCACCTTTTCCAGACTGGGCTATCCTTACAATTCCTACAGTGCGGCAGGGCATTTTCTCCCCATTCCATGGCGAAACAGTGCCAGAATGGCAGGGAGATGAGAGGGCTTTCATTCCCATAATTCTGCCTGGGGGTTTCTCACCAAATTATGGCAGGGGATGTTCTTAAAATATGAAAGTCCCATCCCTGCCATTCATACCACCTGAGCATCATTTTGTGTTCAGAATTCATATGACTGCCCTTGCTGATGCTTTCCATGCTGAGATGCTTCTTGCACCACTGAGAAGACCAGCCAATTCAACAGCTGTGTCAGTAATCACAGCACTAACTTGAAAAAGCCATACAAGAGAGGAATTTACGTCTCATGCCAGAAAGCAGTCAAATACTCACATCTAAATCCATCTCTGGGTACTTCCTTCCTTTGCTTTTCCCCAAGCACTTGGTCTTCCCTCCCTCTAGTAGTTGGCACCAGAATCCTTTTTTAGGATCAAACCTGCAACAATTAAACAAAACAAAACAAAAAAAAAGGATGAGCAAACAATGATACCAAAATTACACCTGTCCTTCTGTTTGCAATTTGGCCATTTTTATAAACACAAGGCACTGTTACAGACTGCAAGGTATAGAAACCAACCATCAGTACAAGTCCCATTTCATCAGAAACCATACAGATTTATCCCATTATCATAATATTGTCTATATTCTTTACAGTTCCAAGCTTAGCCACAGAGAAAAGTTCTAAGGAGGTCATAATCCTCCCAGACCAGGTGGTTGAGAGGCCCGGAAAGTGACGACTAGAAACTGGGCCTTCTCGGCGGTCGCTCTGCAACTGTGGAATAGTCTCCTGCCCGAAATTCGCCTGGCCCCTTCAGTGGGAACTTTTAAGAGACTATCAAAAACACAGAAGTTCAGACAGGCCTTTAAACCCCTCCACCATGCCTTTTTATTACTTTAATCATTTGACTTGTTGCTGTACTTTGTTTTTAATTTTGACATTCAATCATTTGTTCCATATTGTTGTTTATGATGCTGTGGAATTTGTAAACCGCCCATAATAGCCTTGTTAACAAGATGGGTTGTATAGAAATCAATCAATCAATCAATCAATCAATCAATCAATCAATCAATCAATCAATCAATCACATACATACATACATACATACATACATACATACATACATACATACATACATACATACATACATACATACATACATATGGTGGAGGAAGGAGAAAAGAAAGAACGAAATTTAAGATATGCCCCTTTTAACAATCTACTAATTTTACAACATTGTTTCTTTTCTTTTTTCTTTTATTTTTAAAGCAGTGCGTGCAAAATGGGCTCAGATTGCTTCTTATTCTCAATTTGGGAGCTTTTCTCACCCTGCATGAAAAATTTGACACACACAATACAATCCAGCTTTTATAAAAAATATTAATGTGCCCTTTTATTTTAAGTACTTTTTCCATAAAAGCATGTAGTAACATTTGATTTATAAAGTCCCTTTACTTTTACTTTTCAAGCCAGCTTCCAAATGTATTTTTTTTCTTTTAAGTGACACTGATATATGTCGGACAAAGCAATATTAATCATGGCAATAACCCTGCTGAGTCCTCACGCCTACAATGTTAGATGTGAGAAAGAGTCAGTGAATTCTATAAGGCCCAAATAAAAATACTAAGCCCTTGCAAAGACATCAAACACTAGCTCAGCATCCTCTCCGCCTTTGGGAAGAAGGCTGATTAGGAATGGAAGAATGACGGGCCAGGGGGTGCTTTAACCAGAGCCACATCCATTGTTTCTCCACTCTAGATCATGCACAAAGGTGATCTTTGGTTCCAAAGAACTCAGGCGCCAATGGAGGAGAGGTACTAGGGAATGTGTTTTGGTGAAGGCAAACAGCAGGGGACAAATACTTCCACCCCAGTCCCAGGATTTACACCGACATCACCTCCTACAAGGGAAGGCTTTCTAAGCAGTGGAGAAGTCTAGTCACCTGCCATCAGATGCACAGGTACCATGTTTCCCAGAAAATAAGACAGGGTCTTATATTGATTTTTGCTACAAAAAACACAGTAGGGCTTATTTTATTTTTGTTTTATTTTTTGCATGTACAACAATCTACATTTATTCAAATACAGTCATGTCATCATCTTCTGGTTGCTGCACAATGGTGGAAGACGGGTTTTCACTTAACTGGGGCTTATTTTGGGGGTAGGGCTTATATTATGAGCATCCTGAGAAATCATACTAGGGCTCATTTTCAGGTTGGGTCTTATTTTGGGGGAAACTATTTTTACATATTGTATGATCTAAAATTGTGAAAGGAAAACACACACACACACACACACACACAGTTGCAGATAGGCAGACATCCATGCAACACAGGAGGTGGTTGACATATTCTGTGCATTTGCTACAGAAACAATAAGTAAGTTACATTTCTGTAGAAGCCCTATTGTTACTGAAACAAGGGCAGAATGTGCTTATTTCTCGTCCATCCATAATTACTGCATGCCACCCTACTGCTTGGGCAGAGAGGTTTCAAGGTTTCCGAGCTGTCTTTCTTTACACCCAGGGGTATAACCAAGGGGGTGGACACCAATCCTAAGGTAAGTTCTCGACTCCTCAATGGCAAGGGAGAAAAATCAACACCACAAGGCGGATGCCAACTGGTCATACTCAGCAGGCTGAAAGAGAATAGAATGGGAAGGACTCACGCTAGAGTTTTGTGGTAATCTATGATGTTTGTCACTCCAAGGAACTTCTGGACTGTTTCCATCACTTTGGCTGGTTCTGTGCGTAGCAGCTTGCCATCCAGAACAAGAATCTGAAAAAGAGAAATAAAATAGAAATGCACTATAAATGTATCTCCTTTGATTGATAGTTCAAAGCACAATCAAATATGTAACAAAAACACAGGCTTTCGGTTGGACAACCAGAGGTATGTATGGTTCATCTCCTTTTCACACCACTGGTGAAGGAGCAAAGCAGAAACAATGACTTAGATTCTGTTCATTTACTGGAACAAGATGGAACCCCCCCCCCAAACCTCTGCATGTTTAATTTGACTTCTGTTCAGTTGAGAACCAAGGGCACAGGGCAGGTCAAAAGCATTAAAAACAACAACAACAATGTTTTCTTAATCTTGGCTGCTGTATGTTACAAAATAAATGATCTAACCGGATAATATGAACCTAACTTAAAAGATGCAGATGTTCTTTAAAGTGCCAGAATTAATCCTTCCACATGCAAACAGAGTGAAATATAGATACTTTCATGTAAAAAAAAAAACACCACAAAATATAATGCAATAGAAAAGACAGCTGGTGGTATCCAACATGAAGCACTGGGGGACTTGAGAGAAGAAACACCTAATATTTAACTCTCTAATGATCCCAACAAGAAAAGTTGACATTCCATCTGTGGTTTTTCTATAAAATGCTTACAGTCCATCTCAAATACGTATATACGTATATTCACTGAGATTAATGAGGATTCAGATAAACCTATGAAGGGTACAACCTCTGTGTACTAGGGAGGGGAAAATTTTTTATTCTATTTTTACCCTCTTCTCTGCACACATCAAATCAACATGTTCCTTTGGAACAGAGATTTTACATGGAGATTACAGTGCAGGCTTTTTAACTGAACACAAGTATCTTTGTGGCTCATGTACTTTGCTTCCCACCTTCTACACAAAATCATTAAAGGCAGACGATAATGCTGCTTTTGGGAAGTCAGGAAAATCTAGCCTCCATCAAGAACAGCAGGCTAAATCACCACGAGCATGTGATTATGTATGCATCTATGTTGCTAATTTAGCAATGCAAGTTTCTAAAACCCTAACCAACACAGGAACATCAGCAACCTGGGTCTTAGGTGCTAGGTGCTTGGTGCACAAAGCCAGAAAGATATTCTTATTTTGTGGCCTGAAGTAGGATTTTTGAAAGAACTCACAGGAGTCCCTTTTATTGCCCAAGAATATATACAAAAAGGATGTTAAACTTTCCAATATTTAAATCCCCTTAATATTTTTTTTACTTGCATTCATTGTAAGTGTAATGCAGCACATCAGCATGGAAGGCATTTTCACATGGGTTGCTATTTTAACATCGAAAGAAAGAAAGAAAGAAAGAAAGAAAGAAAGAAAGAAAGAAAGAAAGAAAGAAAGAAAGAAAGAAAGAAAGAAAGAAAGAAAGAAAGAAAGAAAGAAAGAAAGAAAGAAAGAGGAGGGGGTGTCGTAAGAGTTCTTTCTCCTCCCACTGCCAGTTGACTAAGTCCTGCATTTCATCCCATTCACATGCTCCTTTCTTTGTAGACTATCAAGAAAGCACAGAATCAGACCACCCTAAAATAGCTCCTCCCAGTGTTCCAGCAAACATCTGAACCAACATCTGACTGTTCACATGGTATAAATTGGTTTCTCGTTTTTTAAAAGGAAATCCACAACATTTTGACTTCTGAGAAGTTAATACAGGGCTTTAATCATCTTCCCTACCTGGTTGGCATGGAAATTATTCAACCACCGTTCTATGTGTGTAGCATACCAGCCTGGCACAAGGCAACGGTTCTGTAACGTCCGGAGCTTCTGAGAGGAAGCCTCAGGCCCTGCTGTAATCACTTCATGAAAGGTGTACTTTAGGGCAACCGGGTCATCATGGGCTCGCTGGTGCTATGAGAGAAAGAGGGAGTGAGTTTCAGGGCATGTTAGTGAAGGAAAAAGTAAGACATAGCACAAAGGCTGGGGCCTAAGAGCTTCATTTAAATTATATAGTTTTTTAATGGGTCAGGGATAGAGATGGGCATGAAATGAACCATTAAGCAGAACAAAAAAACAAACAAAAACACCACAAATCAGGCTTAAATTATATAGTTTTTTAATGGGTCAGGAATAGAGATGGGCATGAAATGAACAATTAAGCAGAACAAAAAACCAAACAAAAAACACCACAAATCAGTTCATGTTTTGTTTTGGGTGCCCAGTCAAGACATATTTACGAGAGTTTTTGGAGGCTGAGAATTGTGGTTTCTGCAGGTTTCAATGCAACAATTTCAGTGTTTTAATGCGTCCTCTTTTAAAAAAATTTAAAATGATTTTAAATTGTTTTAAACATCGTATGTTTTGTCCCAGTCCAGTCAAGACATATTTACGAGAGTTTTTGGAGGCTGAGAATTGTGGTTTCTGCAGGTTTCAATGCAATAGTTTCAATGTTTTAATGCGTCCTCTTTTTTAAAAATTTAAAATTATTTTAAATTGTTTTAAATATCATATGTTTTAAAATTGTTTTCTACAGCTCTGTAACCTGCTCTGAGATTCTGCTATATAGGGCAGTCTACAAATGTTTGAATTATATAAAAAGAAATAGAAACAAGGTTACTGTCCAGCAGGACACTGCATATTCACTGGAACATTTCTAGGAAGTATTGCTGGGAATGTAAATCTCTCTGTGAAGAACTACAAGCCTGCACAAGGCATTATTTAAAAGTCTGCTATGCTGTATGAGTAATAACCAAACTCAATAAATGGTTTACATGGATACTTTAAATCACAGTGATGACCTAGTATGTAGATTGATGAAAAGGGAGGGAAGAAAGTCTCTGGATGTATACAAAAATAATTTAGTCCCTATTCACCCAAAAGGGGAATGTGAAGTCACTACTCACCCAAAAGGGGACTGTGATCTAATTATCAACTGTTTTTTTTAAAAGGTTCACCTCAACAATTTGTCCAGTCGTGTCCGACCCTAGGGGGTGGTGCTCATCTCCGTTTCCAACCCAGAGAGCCAGCGTTTGTCCGAAGACCATCTTCCATGGTCACGTGGCCAGCGAAACTAGACACGGAACACCATTACCTTCCCACCATGGTGGTACCTATTTATTTACTTGTATTTGCATGCTTTCGAACTGCTAGGTTGGCGGGAGCTGGGACAAGCGACGGGAGTTCACTCCGTCGCATGGATGCGATCTTACGACTGCAGGTCTTCTGACCTTGCAGCACAGAGGCTTCTGCGGTTTAACCCACAGCGCCACCACTTAGCTCTAATCTTGTACTCACTTGGTGTTACTCATTTGATGGGGCACATTTCTGAGCAGGTATGTGTGATATTGCACAGTTAAGCATTGATGTCAATAGTGATGATAAGTGAGAATAAGCATTTTTTAATTATGAAGTTCCATTCTCAATTTTCTTTTTTCTCTGGCTTGCATGTATTCTGGAATTAAGTCTTTGTGGCGAAAACAAATTCACCTCGCTGTGCGGGGCACCACTGTACATCAGAATGGAGGGATTTTGTAATGCACCTCAGCTTCTCCACCAAGAATCAGAGTCCATTAATACTTGACTTATTCCTGTTCCTTTTGTTTTCCAGGTAAAGGTTCCTCTTGACAATTAGTCCAGTCATGTCCGACTTTACGGCACAGTGCTCATCCCCGTTTCCAAGCCATAGAGCCAGCGTTCGTCCGAAGACAGTTTCTGTGGTCACGTGGCTAGCGCAACTAGACACGGAATGCCGTTACCTTCCCACCGAGGCGGTCCCTATTTATCTACTCGCATTTTTACATGCTTTCAAACCACTAGGTTGGCAGGAGCTGGGACAAGCGATGGGAGCTCACTTTGTTGTGTGGATTTGATCTTATGACAGCTGGTCTTCTGACCTTGCAGCACAGAGGCTTCTGCGGTTTAACCTGCAGGGCCACCACATCCCACTTAGTATGTGTTTTCCAACTCCTATGCATATACTTGTCTGTTTTTCCTTTTTCGACCTTCTCTGGTTTGCCTTCCCTAGCAAATTCTAATTTTCTCTTCCCCTTGTCTCTTCCACTGCATTCCAACCTCCTGGATAACAATAATTGCTGAGTTAGGTTCATGCCTCTGAGGTGAGTGGGTGGGGAAAAGTTGGATTTTGAGTAGTTGTGGAAGGGAAAATGGAACTCAGTCTCCATGGTGGATAGAACACTGTGTCCTTAAATTCCCTCCCTTCCTTTTGATTCTGTGGGAGAAGCTAAGGCAGTACTAAAGGGCTCCAGAGTGCTGCCTTTGCAATCCTGCCTCTTTAAAGTTTTTAAATGTATGAGCTTCCTTGGGGCTCTCTAAGAAGTTACTTTGCTTTGATTTATAAACTAGGAAGTGGTTATGCCCCTGCTGATCTGGTAAATCACAAGTAAAGTGTGAGCTTCTAAGGAGAATTCTGACTGGTGTTATTGGTCAAGCACATATCTAAGAAATCCTGATTTGTTCAGTGTGTTTACTTGAAGCTCAGTCAGTATGTGAGGAGATGACATATTTCTGCTTCGGAAGCTACTTTTCCATTTTTTTCATTATAGTCTGCCTTGACTCCAAAGAGGTAAATGTTATTCCCCCTCCAGGTTTATCCTCACAAACACCTTATGAGGTAAAATCTGACTGACAAAATATAATGGGCTCATGCAGCAATTCTGATGCTGCTTCTCTTTTCTTTGCAAAATAAATAGGCATGAATTAGAAAGTTGCTTTTTAACTGCAGTGTGGTTACAATCTGACCTGAATTTTGTTGATCCATTAACCATGAACTCATAGGCAAGCAGTCCTAGAGAAGATTCTACTTTGTTTTCTCATTTTTTATTTATTGTGTTTTTACTATCAGCACTTGTTTTAACCTTTTTCTCAAGAGGAGAAAACTGGCCTACAAATGATACAAAATAAAATAAAATAAACACATGTAATAGCTGCACCTTATAGGTGAAACCCTTATTCAGGTTCCATACAGTAACAAGATATGACGGGAATAGCTTTTAATGTATAAAAGCAAAAAGCAAAGCATGCTGCTTATATACCGCCCCATAGCGCTTCAAGCAGTCTCTGGGCTGTTTACAAGTTAATTATGCAAGCTACACATTGCCCCCCCCCCAGTGAGCTGATTACTCATTTTACCGACCTCGGACGGATAGAAGCCTGAATCAACCTTGAACCGGCTACCTGGGAATTGAACCCCAGATCGTGAGCACAGTTTTGGCTGCAGTACAGCGATTTAAACACTACGCCACGAGGTATAAGTAGGTTCAAAACGAACAGTGCCAAAATAAAACTTCACTATTCAAAACTTGCAGACTAAAAAGGAACTGGAAAAAATGTAGGAAGAAAAGGAAGTCATTAAGTCTCCTTCAGAACCAAATTTTAATTGCATGATCTCCTCTGTCAGACACTTCTCCATCCTACACACTGTTGCTACCTTCCACCATGTTCACTTTTTTACAATGCGAAGGAAACTATTCTAAAACAGAAAAATCTCTGATGCTGTCAATTTTATGAAACAGTTGGGGATGCCAGAAAATATCCGCAGCATGACATTCTGCAATCTGATATGCAGTGTAGGAAACGTGGGTATTGAGTGAAATCACCATAACTTTGTATTTTGTCTCCAAATTAAGAAGTACTCATCTTTGTAATGCACAAGTTGTTTTGCTCACTGCAGTGGCATCTGTAACCTAAAACAGAGTCTTTCTGAACATGATTCCATGAGGACGGCTGGTTTCATGTTCAATCACCTCTTAAAATACCACAAATAAAAAGCAAATAGGATACTGAATTTTCAATACAAATTTGCCCTAGGTGAATGTAATAGACGTTTCTAAAGTATAACATAAATATTCCAACTGGCAATGCACTTATCGAGAAATGGTAGAGTGCAAAAAACCAAAGTCAGATTGCGTTCACAGGTTAATTTCTTCTTAATTGAACACAAGAATTCAAAAAACAGCACATTAGCAAGAAACAATGTAAGGAACAACAATATCCATTCTTGCACTTCCTGTGTTGCATGGATGTCTGCCTATCTGCAACAGTGTGTGTGTGTGTGTTTTCCCTTCACAATTTTAGATCATACGATATGTAAACATACAGTTTCCCCGAAAATAAGACCTAACCTGAAAATAAGCCCTAGTATAATTTTTCAGGACACTCGTAATATAAGCCCTATCCCAAAAATAAGCCCCAGTTAAGTGAAACCCGGCCCTCCACCCTTGTGCAGCAACCAGAAGATGATGACATGACTGTATTTGAATAAACGTAGATTGTTGTATATATAAAAAATTAAAACATCCCTGAAAATAAGCCCTACTGCGTTTTTTGGAGCAAAAATCAATATAAGACCCTGTCTTATTTTCGGGGAAACAAAGTAGAGCAAGAATAATTTTCCTTCTGTCAAAGAATTATTAAAAACACTATTCAATGTCCTCGGAAAAATCCGCCATCCTTTAGGACAAGAGGCAAACAAAACAAACAGACCCAACCAAGAGCAACCTACCTGGTACCAGGAGTAGGCCCGATCTGCAGGGTTAATGAGGATGGTGATTATTTTAGCCTTGGAAAGCAGGGCTGCTGCCCGCCTGGGTGCTACTTCCGAATCAAAATAGTTGGCACTCTTCTCAAAATAGAAGTCAGAAGTGGTGTTGGAAGGGATGGGGAAAAATTCCATGTACCTTAAGAAATGCCACCAAGCAGGAAGGAAAGACAACAGAGAAATGGTATTAGTGCCTCTCTAATGGCAACTGCCCTATAGACAAAAAGCCAGCTTTTACAGTATTAGATCAAGGAATCACCATATAAAAGGTTCCCTCTTTCAGAAATATTCCAGGCCAAACAAAAATATGTATTTATGAGGACCTTTTGGAGGTCATTAATTCAAGAAGTTACCATAAATCAGAAATGACAACAGCAATTTGGCTAAACAACAAAACCAAAATAACACTGTGCAAAGAGGATCCATTTCAGAATGTCAGCCTCATACCAGTTGCACGAACAACATTCCTGCACAACTAATATAGAACACTTGTGAATCAAAGGCTTATGAAGCTGCTGTTTACAGTAAAGAAAGCTGACTCTCAATCAGATCCACCCTTAATCATCAGAGATAAGACGGGGTTGATCTACTGTTAAGCACCACCAGTTTTGCAAGGTAACAGACATATGGGATTAGACAAACAGTTCTGTTGTGTTGGTGGGGTGCAATATACAATAGGTACCTTGTTTTCCTCAAAATAAGACCTAACCTGAAAATAAGCCCTAGTATGATTTTTCAGGATGCTTGCAATATAAGCCCTACCCCAAAAATAAGCCCCAGTTAAGTGAAATCCCGCCCTCCACCATTGTGCAGCAACCCAAAGAAGATGACAGGACTGTATTTGAATAAACATAGATTGTTGTATATATATAAAAAATAAAACATCCCTGAAAATAAGCCCTGCTGCGTTTTTTGGAGCAAAAATCAATATAAGACCCTGTCTTATTAACGGGGAAACAAAGCAGAGCAAGAATATTGTTCCTTCTGTCAAATAATTATTAAAAACACTAATCAATGTCCTAGGAAAAATCCGCCATCCTTTAAGACAAGAGGCAAACAAAACAAACAGACCCAACCCAGAGCAACCTACCTGGTACCAAGAGTAGGCCCGATCTGCAGGGTTAATGAGGATGGTGATTATTTTAGCCTTGGAAAGCAAGGCTGCTGCCCGCCTGGGTGCTACTTCCGAATCAAAATAGTTGGCACTCTTCTCAAAATAGAAGTCAGAAGTGGTGTTGGAAGGGATGGGGAAAAATTCCATATACCTTAAGAAATGCCACCAGCAGGAAGGAAAGACAATAAATGGTTAGAAGATCAGTACCATCCATTAGGGCCCTAAAAATGAACAGGTCTAAAAACAAATAAAAATAGAACATTTATATGGCATATGTATTTATTATTTATTAAAATCCCTTTCATATGCCAATACGCCAGCAAGTTTGGAAAACTCAACAGTGGCTAGAGGACTGAAAAAGATCAGTCTACATCACAATCCCAAAGAAGGGCAGTGCCAAAGAATGCTCCAGCTACCATACAATTGCACTCATTTCACATGTTGGCAAGGTTATGCTCAAAATCCTCCAAGGTAGGCTTCAGCAGTATGTGGACTGAGAACTCCTGGTACAAGCTGGATTTCAAAGAGGCAGAGGAACTAGAGACCAAATTGCTAACATCTGGTGGATTATGGAGAAAGCCAGAGAGTTCCAGAAAAACATCTCCTTCTGCTTCATTGACTATGCAAAAGCCTTTGACTCTTATTATGTTCACCAAACTGCCATCTTCCATACCTCAAAAAGACTCTTTGTAACCTTCCACGGCCCCTCAAAGGGGGCACCGGCTACTTCCTAAACCATCTCCAGTTGGATTGTGGTGACCATACACCTCGCCTACCAGCTATCTAAGTTTCTTCTCCCGGGCACAGTTAAGGCTCACTCAACAAGGGTGGTAGCCTTTTCAACTGCATTTCTTCAAGGGGTGGACATTGTGGACCTATGTAGGGCTGCTACATCAGCCACACCATCCACCTTCACCTGTCACTACCATCTTGATGTCTGAGCCAAGGCTGAGACTGCGATGGGTCGTGCTATCCTCTTTTCAGTGTTTTCATGACATCCCTCATCCGGGTAAGTCAGCTTGCTAGTCACCCGTTAGTGTGCATTCAGAGAGACCACGAAGAAGAAAATAAATAAATAAATAAATAAATGTGGTTCTTCAAGGGGTCACCTGTGAATAAACATCAATGGGCTAACTGCACAATCAGTCTCGGAACCTTCCAGAGCTGAGCTAATTTATTTTGGCAGAGGCTCTGCCTCCTTTAGAGAGTGTGGTCTGCCCATTCCAATTTGTTCCCCTCAATTTCAGTCTGCCATAAAGAGAAGAACATCTGAGAGGGGAGGAGGGTTGTGCTGAGTTCACAAATGACCACTTGAAGAACCACAGTTATAGGTAAGCAACCCGTTCTTCTCTGTGGTCTCAATAAACACACACTAGAGGACGAGTAACAAGACTACCTTAAGGAGGTGGGCATACGTCACTGCACGATGGATGGCAGTCCCCCTGCCAAAATGCAGATTCAGATGAGCCCTCATGTCCAGGCAGTAGTGCCTCATGAAGGTGGTGGGCCGGCTCCATGTTGCCACTCTGCTTATGTCTGGTAGGGGAACACCCCTGAGGAAGAGTGTTTGCCTGCGTGTGGCTCTGATAAAGTGGCCCCAAACTAATCTGGGGAGTGGAATGAGAGCTAGCTGGTAGCAGAGCTTGATAGCATGAACAACCCATTTGGCAATCTTATTTTGGGGGGGGTAGCAGAGCTTGATAGCATCAACAACCCAATTTGGCAAAAAAAATTTTGGGGTGGAGGGGGTGACCAACGAGCCCTTCTTCTTCAAGGCATAACAAACAACTGCTGTAATGGGCAGAACGATTTCAGTTTTTGAACACTGAAAGCGAGGGCCCTGCAAACATCCAGCGTATGGACAGAATATTCAAGAGGGGGTGGAAGGGGTCAGGTAAAGGGTAGGAAGGGAGATCCTTGGAGCCATGTGAAAACCAGAGGCCGCTTTTGGCATGAATGGAAGATCCAGTAAGAGAACCACATTATCCATATGGAGAAAGAGCAATATGATGGGTCAATTATGAGGACAGAGTTCACTCACACTTTAGTCAGCTGCCACAGAACTAGGGACAGGTCGCAACTTGGGGATAGCAGGGGGTTAGGTGGGCAAAGGTTATTAAGGCCTTTAAGGAAGTTATGGATGTGAGGATGAGTGAACCATCATCGCCTGTCCCGTGCGGCACATATGCTGAGATGGTAGGTAAATTTAAACATGAGGGGGTGACATTGTGAGGCCCTTCGTTTTCAGAGAAAGGAGGAACTGAAGGATTTCACAGAATGAACACGGGGCCAAGCTGGACTGCTGAATGACCAAGATGCTGCTGGAAAATGCTCCACTTGTAGGCATAAGCCTTCCTCGCAGAGGATTTCCTATTTCTCAGATGTCCAGTGAATACGCTTTGCCAGGCAGATTCCCCACACCATCATGTATAGAAAATGGAGGTCGGGGTGAAGGATAGTGCACTGGAAAATTGATTATCAGGTCATACAGAAAGAATCTGATATTCTCGCACCAGCAGCAGTAGCAGAGGTGTGTGTGAGGGGGATGGAATGGGCAGACCATACCCTCTAAACAGGTGGAGCTCCTGCCAAAAGACCTTAGCTCAGCTCTCGAAGGTTCCTAGACTGACTGCACACGTGCAGTTAAGCCCACTGATGTGCATTCACAGAGACTACGAAGAAGAATCAAAGTTTCTTCCTTGTTTACAAGGCATCTGTTACATGTACAAAGATCAACAACAAAAGCAACTGGGGGGGGGAATTATCCAGCTGCAACATGTCTTTTATTCAGTGTCATTATAAGTCATGCTCTACATCCTACATGCACCTGCGGATGCAAAGGGAAACCTACCAGTCGATCCCCTTGTGATAATTATGTCCATTGAAGAACTGGATCTCCTCAAAGGTCTCTGAGCTAGGGTAATTGCTGCTTAGGTCAGGGTGCATCCCCAAGAACAGATAAAGGGCAGTGGTACCTTTATACAGCAAAAGAAAGAAAACAAGAGCTGAAAATGTATTTTCTTTTTACATCTGCAAAAAGTCCATATTCCAGACTCTGTGACCATGTTGGATCTCAAAAGAGCAAGCAGATTCTTAAAACTGAATGTACTGAGTTCTTAAAACGGAATGTACTGGGTGTTAGCCAGGTGTTCTTATATTCTTCCTACATCACAGTCTCAAGACTTCTCACCAGCCCTTAGATCTCAAAAGAGCAAGCAGATTCTTAAAACTGAATGTACTGTATTCAGTTCTTGAAACTGAATGTACTGGGTGTTAGCCAGGTGTTCTTATATTCTTCCTACATCACAGTCTCAAGACTTGGCTCACCAGCCCTTATTCCCTACTTGCAGGCATTGTGGCTGTCATTCAATCCACTCTGTGTGCAAGTGGACTCTTTAAGTGCAAACATCTCAGGGGCAGAAAATGTATATGAATGCACACACCAAGGCTCATCTTCAACTTGAACCCTATATTTCTAACTCAGCTTTGACTAACTACATGGATTTATATTGACGTTTTGGCTGTAATTCTCTAATTCTGAGTGCCCAGCATATTACTTTAAAGAACTGTGCAGAAAAAAAAAACTAGAAGTAGCAGGGATGATTACAATTTCCATGTTTTAGTTGATATTTAAAGACCAAGGGTAATCTAGGGACACGTACCAATCATGACTGGCTATTAATTACTGATGACAGACAACTAACTAGTCAAGATCAGGCCACTGTCTTTCCACTGATGGGAAAAACCTATTCTTTCTGCGCCAGAAGAAGCTGTTCTTCCCACCAGTCATTTCAGGATATTGCACTAACATTGAGTGATGGGTGGTTTCAAGCCCGTTTCATAGATCAGTAAGCTAGACTTGCTCACCTGTCTTCTGAGGACCAATGATAAGCAACTTGGGGAAGCGGTCACAGGTCTTCTCCTTGGACCAGATATCCTTGTGGCGTTTGTCTTCACAGGGATCCTAAAAAGCAAGGTGGTGTTGGGGAATCAACGATGACGCTTACAGGAAACAGGGATTTCATGCTGGACAGTTCCCTTGAATGCGAGCAGTAAGTTATGCCCATGACAGCTAGTAAGAAAGGGGCCAGTATGTTAGGTCTGCTTCACCTTCTGCATTCCACAGTAACTTTAGAGTTTACTGCCTTCCCCATCATAAAATTGGAAGAAAAACGTGGACATAATGCTTTGGGCCATTTTTTTTTAGACAGTGCAAAAGTATTTTAAACAAGTAAATAACAATAAAAAATCTATGAGGTTAAACAATGCACAGCAGTGATCTGTCAAAAACAGATTGTGTCAGCTGGTTTTGGGGTCTACAGGTGCCATCAACTGGCTGATTTGACATGCAGCCCACACAGGAAAAAGAGAAAAAGCAGCAGAAGAGGCAAGCAATTTAAGTACGGCTGCATGCATACACCACTTCTGTCTGCTTACGTTCTTCACTCTTCTACAGAACAAGGAGTGCTGTATGACCCAACAGATACCTGGTCTTGATTCGGAACAGCTAAACAGGTGACACAGTGAACATTTATTTGGAAGCACCCGGCTCATCAGGCCCCAAGAAGACTGTCAGTACATACCTGCCAGAGAGGGTCTTTCTCTTCTGAGAATATCTGGAAATACTTCTGTGCCAGCTGCACTGGTGGCAGTGTCTGCAACTTCAAGTTAGTCCAGGAGTTGAGGAAGTGGACCAGGTGTCTAAAGGTGTACAAACCCAGGCGGTCATTCCCATAATTGGAGAGATGAGTCATGAAGATACTGATCTGGAGGCCAAGGGTGAGGGAAGTTGGGGGATGGGGGAGAGCAGGAGAAAAGGTAATCAACATTGTTAGCCAAAAGGATACTATCTTACGAGAAAGCCCCGAGGTCAAATAATGAGCCCTAATTCCCATCTCCTAGGGCAGGGGTCTCCAAACTACTGCCTGGGAGCCATATCTTATCTTTTTATCCGGCCCGGCAGGTGGGCGGGCACAGCGGCAGGTGGGAGGGTGTGTGTTCCTTTGGCCCTCAAAAATGTGGAGGATATATGACGTGGCCCTCCCACTGAAAAGTTTGGAGACCCCTGTTCTATCTAGGGGAAGGATAGGGATTTTCAGGCCAGATGCAGCCTGCAGTGATTCCCATCTGCAAGTTCTTTTGCTGTTATTTCCTCCATCACTGATTAGAGATAGGGTAAGAGATAAGAGGCAATTTTATAAGACTAGAAATACGCTGCACTGGGTCCTGCTCCAGAGTATGTATATGTCTGAGCTTAACTTTGTATACTTAGTGAAAAACTTCCAGATGGGTAAAAATTACGTCTATCCCTGCCACCTGTCGTTTGGCTGTTATGCTCTACACCCATTACACCTTTGACAACTAGAATGTAATTCTTGAAAACCTTTCCAAATTGGTGACTGGCTTCCAGGTGGTTACCATTCCTGCTCTAGTGTGCACTGCAACAATTTATCAGGGTAGGGAGCAGGGACGGGAAACATGGCAGGAGTTGAAGATGGGTTACACCCATCCATGAGTAAGATGAAAACACATGAAGGCTTTGCTGGAACAAAGTCTACAATCCATTGTCAACAATTAAACAGGAATGTAAAGAAATCTTACAAATTGGCCTTGATGGAGAAAGTCCATCCTGTTTGCATCCAAGAGATGATGACCAACAATCTATATCTAAAAATGGATTTTCCATTTTTAGCTTTCATCTGTCACCAATTCTGCTTAACTTTTTTTTCCAAATCTATTTCCCACATCCAAGTCCTCCCTTTCTTAAAACAGCAGTACACAGGACAACCATCCCTTTTTCAACCCCTCTATGTTTGTAGCTAGTACCTCTTAGAGAAATGCATCCCCTTAAAGCATCCCATCTCATCTTTTATGAGCTAACAGTCATCTCCAAACAATTTCAGTAGATGATGCTTCCCCTTCCAATTTGAAGAAAACTTTTTAATGGAAACCCTTTAAGATTCTGATAACATTCCAATTAACTAAAAATGCAAAAAAAAATTTCTAACTATGATTTGGCTACATATGTTGCAACTTATTAACTCCCTCCCTCCAAACATTTAGAAAACAGTCTTTGCAGAGAGGCCTTCCAATGCAACTCTGCCTGATTTGTATGCCTTGTACACTGCTTTTTATTTGGAGATTACACCTCTCGTAGCACAATTTTATCTCTTATTGGTTTGACTTTTAATCACATTGTTTGTCGTGTTTTATTATTATGCTGTAAACCACCCAGAATGGTGATTTGCACTAATGAGGTGGTATACAAATCTAATGAATAAATAAATCCAAAATCTTAGTTATTAAACTGAAGACAATCTTTAGAAAATTTTACTCAAACTGCCTATAACCCTATTCATGATAATACTAAAGACTGTCAGTCAGCGGATCAGTGATCTTGCTGTACCATTAATGTCATGTTCTTCCTTTCTGTTGTCCGTCAGTTTAACCATGTAAAAATAATAATAACAATGGAGAGGCTCTATGTGCTTTGAGGGTCCTTCCATTTCTCCCTGAGGTGGCACTTACAGGGTTAAGAAGCACAGTTAAAAAAAGCTCGCCTCCGTTGATGATCTTATCCAGTTCACTTGAGCCACCAGGGTATTCATTATAGAATATGGTATGTGTGAACAAGCCACATGTTTGTCGTGGGAGAATCTGGTAGGAAACAGGAAAAACAACAACATAACATATTAAAAAGAGGCGTATGGCGATTATTCATTCCAATTACCTTTACAAATTCTGAGTAGGTGGTCCAACATGTTTCTACATTTTAAAGGACCATTTCAAGGGCAGCCCTATGTAGAGTGTGTTGCAGCAGTCTATTTTGGAGATTACCAGTGCAAGAACCATTGTTGCTAGGCATTTCTTATCCAGGTAGGGGCACAACTGGGCTATCAACTGGAGTTTATAAAAGGCAGTCCTGGCCACAGATGATATTTGCGCCCGCATAGAGAGTGCCAAGTCCAGGAGTATCCCCAAGTTGCAGAGTTGATCCTTCAGGGGGAGTGCAACCACATTGAGGGGAGGTAAGTCTCCCTTTAACCGGTCTGATGATCCTCCTAACAGCATGATTTCTATCTTATCTGGATTCATTTTCAGTTTACTGGGCCTTGTCCAGTCCATTATCAAAGTCAAGTAGCACCCATTGTTCCCTTCTCTGCAGATTCATGTATTTTTTAAAATATATATATCTTGGTTTCACTACAAAGGTATAAATCTATAATGATGAAAGCAGTATAAAGCCGTCCTTTAATCCAAACTCATAAGTTCAAAGAGTCCACAACCGGCATCCAAAATTCTCTATTAGACAATCTTCCCTCTTTTCATCTGTTCTATAATAATACAATTTAATAAATGAAACATTTGTCTGTTGTTTTCACCAACCCAACAAACAACGAGGTCAGTTTGGCAGATTTCCAAGCTCCAGCTACACCTATTCCAACTGAAGCCAACAAGACTGTACCTTGCTCTCTTGTATTTTAAATTCCCAATAATGCATTTTTAGAATTACATGGGAGAACTAAACCATTTGTTTAGTTATGTTTATATAAAAATCCTTGTATGATAACTTGTAACAGCTGGACGTGGCCGGAAATATGAAAGCAAAGGTTATCTGGCCTCAACTTTTGACATCTCCAGTATTAGTCAAGGCTCGGCGCACATCTTTTTTAAAATCTCAGTGGGATAAGGAAATGTCATCAAAACTGCAGTAGTAAATCTCCTACAAAGCTATACCGACCTTATTTTTAATTATATATTTGCAAAGCCATTCTTCTTTGAATAAGACTCCTACATCTCTTTCCCTGCTTTTGCTTAAAATACAAGCTTGCCTACTTCTTGCTTTAAAGCAGCTTATACCATTTTCTAATTACTCATCTTGCATTCAAAGATGTTAATAAATCCTCCATTTCTGGACTCCCCTGAAGACTCTGGTATTTTTTTTAATCAATGCCCTCCTTACTTGAATGTACTGAAACAACACGAGCCCTCTCCTCTCTGTGTTATCTACCATTTTTCGAAAAGAGTGCTATCCTATCTCTTTGCATAACTCATTTATTTGCAATAGGTGACACTTAATGCCAGTTTGAAATGCCAGTCAACACTGTTCTGATACATTTCATTACAGAATACAGATGTTTCCCATGATGATCCTGGATGAATGGTTCTTTTAACTTTGCAGCAAACATCAATAGTGCTCCTCACGTATAACATATCACTGACGAGGCTCCCCTGGTTTTAGAGCCTGGTGTCATAAGTATGCTGATGCCACCCAGCTCTGTCCTTAAACACTCTCAGAACAAAGAGAGTTATTTCTGGTTGCTTGAGTAAAGTATGCCTGGAAGCTGTGGGAAAGTGGATAGGGGGAAATGGCCTGAAACTGAATCAAGACAAGATGGAGGATATGCTGCTATGGAAAACAAGACAGTCTGGAAATGTTATGCCTGCCTGTGACTGATTAAAACCTCTGTGGCTCTTCCCTATCAGGCTGTGTTTATGGGTCCAGTCCTGCTTCTTGAGAAACAAGATAGCACTGTTACTTATGTGAAATGCTTTATTTCACATCTAACTAAAAAGCTGAGTTTTCTCCCTTTTGCACAAGCCCACTACTGCCTTTAAGGTCTATATTTCTGTAATGGTTGACATTACAACGTCATAATATTCCATAACACAGGTGACATGAAGTCTACATGAAGGTAGATCAGAAAATTCAACTGGTGCAGAATAATGCTAAAGACACCTTGCTAAAGACACCAGGAGGCACCTGTAGATTCAATAAATTCTTCACCAGTTACATTTGATGCCAATTTGCTTCAAGGCCTAATTGTAACCTATGAAACCATGCCCGGTCTGAGGCCCTCATATCTTGTCTTGTTGTTATGAGCTCAAAGGCCAACTGGGTATCACATTTAGTCAGCAATGGCTAGGAGCCAAGACTTCACAACAGCAGCCCCCCAATTGTGCAAATTCTTCCTTAAAGAGAAGAACAGTTGTCACTTTAAAGATCTAATGGGAAGTGCTGCAAAATCTCTCCTCCATCAAGCTTTTGATCAAGATATGCATTTTATATCCTTCTTTAAAGTACTTTCTTTACTAAACAGATGTAATTACCTGTCCATGTGTAAAAACTCACTATGTAGTATTAGACAAACACAAACCAATTTCTCTTCAACAATCAGAGAAACAAAGGACAGATTTTTAAACAAAACACAGAGTCTTCTGATCTGTCCTATGAACACTATCAGTGGATTCCTTACAATAATATTGGAGAAACACCCCCATCTGAGTTTGACCAGTATACCACTGGGGATATAAAAGAACAATTAACAGGCCAATGCCCTTTTTTCCTTACCATGATTCCATTGTGGATGAAGCCTCGCCTGTAGCGGGCTGGTTTGAGGTGAGGATACTCTTCTGTACTTGTGACTTTGATCCCCCACACCTGTTTCCAGGCCTCATACAACTGCACGTGGACTGGATACACCCCTGAATGATGAGGTGCCACTGCATATCCCATGTCTGTAGGGATGCCATGTTCCTAAGAGGAAAGAAAATATTTATTTGTTTGTTTGTGTTTGTTTATTTATTTATTTATTTATTTATTTATTTGTTTGTTTGTTTGTTTAACTTATATGCTGCCCACTCTACCCAAAGGTCTCTGGGTGGCTTACAACATTGCTATAGTCAGGGTTAAACAGTGGAGTTATAACGAGAAGTAGTAGTAATACAGTAGTAGCTGCCGTTGTTGTTGCTGTTCTGTTGTTATTTTAGAATTGCACAGCTGGAAAGGACCTTACGGATCATAGAGTCCAAGCCTAGTCAAGGAGGCCCAAGTGGGGAACTGAACTCCCAGTCGCTGGCTCTGCAGCCAGAGACCTAAACCACTGAGCAACCCAGCAGTTCCAATGACAACTGGATGCATCTCTTTACATGATGGTACTGCTGGTTTTGTGCCTCTGCACTCCAAATCACTGGTAGCAGTCTATGCAAACCGGTGGAGCTCCTAGCTTCATGATCTGTGTCAGTTTTCCATGGCAACAAGCGGAA